CTTTCTTTCTTTCTTTCTTTCTTTCTTTCTTTCTTTCTTTCTTTCTTTCTTTCTTTCTTTTGCAACACCCCTTGACCCCATTTTTGACCTAGCAGGCCTCAGGGAAGCCTTCTGGGAGCAAAACCAGACCCCAAATGCTAAAAAAAGGTTTTAAAAAAGTTCCTAACGTCGTGCAGCACAGCCGATCGTCACAACTTTTTTTTACTTTGTTAAGCATTTTTTACTACTGGTTCAGGCAAACCGGCCTGAACTGGTACCATTTCACCCCTGATCCATGGACTAATCAGGTCAGAATTGGCTTGGTTTTTCAAGCTCAGCCAGAACTTGATTATCACAATTCTACCACCTATTTGAGATGCATATTCTGAGGGTGTCTCAAACTAATATATCAATATACTACTAAAATTCATTTCCATAATCTTTAACTGGGGGAAATGGTGCATTATATTTTGAACCAAGATGCCTCAAATAGGCTAGAATGTATCAAAAATCCAGAACCCATATAAGATTTGGCAAATTTTATAAAAATCTTTTATGACATAAACATTGTCATAAAACAGTTTATGGCATAATACACAATATCACAAAACATTCCCTTTGTTGATGTTTGACTGTACTATACAGTTCAACACAGGCTATTTTCAAGGCAGATAAAATTCTGAATACATTCCAAGCTTTCCATCACGTTAGAAGTTTGTCATTGTTGAAGGCATTGAGGAATCTGGTAAAGCAGGAGTGTCAAACTCGATTTCATTGAGGACCACATCAGGACTATGTTTGACCTCAGGGGGCTGGGTAGGCATGCCCAGCTCAATATCACTCATGTCAGGGGCACCTGTGGTGGCCCGAGAGCTCTGCCAGCAAAAACGGGCTCCCGAGCTCCGTTTTTGGCTGTGGCAGCCTCCTGCAACCCTCTGCCAGCAAAAATGGAGCCCCGGAGGGCCACCTGCAGCCCTTGCAAGCTCCATTTTTAGCTGCGACGGCCTCCTTCAGCCCTATCCCAGAAAAATCAAAGCTCTGTTTTTGCTAGCAGGCACTGTGGGCTGGTACTTCGCTGTTTCCAGGGAAGCCCCACCGGCCAGATCTAACCATCCCGCAAGTTTGATCCATCCCCGGTTCTTGCGTTTGACACCCCTGAGATAAAGTAACCATCTCTGAATGGATGACCCAATGGGTCACAGTTATCTAGCTTGTTTTAAAATTCTGACAAGATAAATTTCTTATCCAACCTGTAATGAAATTCTGGAAAGAAAAGAGGTGTTTTCAAAACATCGCAGAACAAAGAGAAGATGAAAATTTTTGTGGTATCAAATAACTATTGGAAACCTCCCCATTAAACCAAGACTTGCTTAGAAAGATGAAAGGGGGAAGAGAGGCCCCACCCCAGGGGTGGGTTTCAACCAGTCCGCGGCGGTCTGCGCGGAGCGGTTGGTCGGTGAACCCAGAAGTAAGTAACTTCCGGGAACGCCAAGGGCCCACCCACCCACCCTCGCTCCTTACCAGTCTTTAAAGGCTTCTGCGCTTCCACGCAGGCACATGGCATATACAGCGCCTGCGTGATTCTCTGCGAGCAGCTGGAGCATCGCGCAGGCGCTAGGACACATGCGTGAACTGTGCACGTGCACGAGGACACCGCCGGCTCCATTCCAACTGTACTGGTTGGAACGGGATTAGCAACCCACCACTGCCCCACCCTAAGGAGTCCCTAATAAGATATGCAAGA